CAGGCTTTCCCTGCCACAGCAGGGTGTGGGGATGAATTTAAGATGACCCTCCAATAGTTAGATTCCATACATGGCAAATTACAAGAAATTTATAAATTTTCCACGGGTAGGCTCGAATTATTGGGGGGCTGTCTTAAATTCAAAGCTGTCTTGGATTTAGGCAAATACAGTATTGCTATATGATAAAAACAAGAATGGTGGAGAATCTAGGAGAAATTAAGAGCTTTAGCAGAACACCAGTTTTCATTAAATCAATTTAGAACAAGATGGTGCAGAAAATAATTACTCTTCCCTAGTCCACTGCAATCGGGGTAAAAGATTCCCTTAAGTGGACTTTCAGAATGGCCTATTGCCTGTCAAAGCAGGGGAATGCTGGTCCAATTCTCATTAATGGCAGAAATCTCACAGATTTTGGTGGAATTAGGACTTATTCTGAAATTTTTCAGTACCAAATTTAATGTCTTTTAAATAAAAGTAGGAAGGTAGGGGAGAGAGACTTGGTTTATTCTCAAAGCAACCTTTCCTGTAAGAAGTACCTGCTTCAGAGGACGAAGGGAGCCAATTACTTTCCAGCCACTGAACTCACTCCAATTTGAAATCTTGCTGGGTTCTAGTAGAATTTGTTTTCCTAGGAAATTGCCTCCTTCATAAGCAACCCACCTGGAAACAGAAAACACCCAGGGTATGTAAGAATGATGGCTGGGAAAACAAAGATACAAAGTAACACCTGCTACAATATTTTTAAACCCTAATTTTTTTCCATGGTAATAGCTTACTAAATGTGTACTGTCATGCAAAAATGACAGTGCTCCTCTAGTGCTTTAAGTGCAAGTCTTGCCCCACACTGTCACTGTTACGCCCTTTCGTGCTCACAGAGCAAAAAGGGATCATATGCAATTGGAGTGTGAAACACTCCAAAAGAGCCAAACCTGCTATATCAAACCGCACCACTGGACTGAGAACTTTATTCATGGTTAAAACACAGTAAGTGATCCTATGTGAATCATAACATTACTACTGTAGTAACAGAATGCAGTGCTGAGGCCATGTATACTGGCACAAAAATATACTCTGCCTCTTTTTCTCTCAGCCATAAACCCTCCAAGTTGCTCACTTCCTCCTGGTCTCCCACCATATATCATGGCTGCCTGTGGTAGGGGCTGACAACAAATCTCTGCCTCACTGGAAAGCTCAAGCTGCCTGAGCTTACTAGGTAGCTATCTGGCCTCTGCAGAGAGGATAAGTGCAGGCAGGAGGAAACAGGGAGGGCTGCAGAGGAGACATGGTTCAGTATAGCCCCATGGCATCCTGGACTGCACTTTACTTCATTTACTCTTTTACACATCAGCCACTTGGTGCATAGTTTTAAAGTGTTTTATGTATGGACTTCATTACTGAAACCTATTCAGATAACTCATGTAACAAAACAGTAAAACTCTGCACAGTGGGTTTTTTTGGTTTGCTATGAGTGAGAAAGACAGGTCAGCGAACACATCAAGGGCCCATAAAATGCTTTTCTATTATACACATTTGGGAGAAAGTCATTCTAATCATACAACCTTCATTCAGAGACAGTACATATTTGTGCCTATAGGGGAGCTGGAACAACAGAGATTCAAAGAAGCTGAAAACCATCTATAATATTTCTTCCTTATTATTTTATTTCAGGACTTTTTTTTTTGCAATGCACTCATGCAATGTGACTTAATGAAAGCAATTTTAGTCCCAGTGATGGACAATAGCCTCATTTAAAATGAACAGCCCATGCCCTAAGCACTGGCTTTGTGTTTAAGAGCCAGGAGACAGGGTAAGTAAAAAATAATTATAATAATGAAACAAATGTTGATTATAGTCATAAAACTATGGTGCTCGCTACTGGTATTCAATAGGGTACAAGAGACTATAATTCAGTGCCCAAGAAGAAAATCCTTGTAGCACAATTAGTTCCATCTCCTGAGTGACACAACCCTTGATTAAAGGAATGCAGACACAAAGGTGTGTATTCCAGTAGGATTAGGACAGCACTGAACCTCCTTTTTTGATTTGCTGTCTTGCAAAGCGTGTGTAGCTGAGCAGAGCAAATATGCAGAGAAATATGTATTTTGTTGTTTGAAATGCATGCTAGGAAGTTCAAAGACCACTTCCAGTATGCTGTAGGCTAGGCATTTTGAAAGCACCATTAGTACTTATGACCTTTTCACATTTAATTTGAAGCCTGTTCTAGTGTCAATGGCAAATGTTGCCAATACAGTTCTCAGCACATTTAGAGTTTAAAGGCCTCTGCTGCATTTTCACTGAACTTTAAAACCACAGAAAAATTTAACTCACAACTTTGATCTACCAGGCTGCAATCGCCTTTAAGGTCTAGCAAGGACCCCTATCTCCACCAACCCAGGCCACCTGCATTGGCTCCTCCAGACTGACCTCCCCATATTATCCTATCTTCCATTACAAATCTATGCCTGTGCATGGCAGCAAGATCCCATGCCACATACACAAGCCTGTTTCTTGCCTTTCACTTCCTTATTTATGCAAGGCTCACCTTCTACTGGGACAATGGACCCAGCTGTCTGAGGCAGGATTTTGCCTATCTGAACTATCCCATACAAAACCTTGACTAACCTCTTACTAAAACTATGCAGTCAACTGTGTTGCACAGCTACAAGGCATAACACACTAACCTGTGAGAGGTAAAGCAGGGGCACAACAGCAATCAGTGTCCTGCTCCTGCAAAGCTAATTGAAATGCACTTGGGAGATCCAAGGAAGCGGGCCATGCATCCCCAGTACTGAGGAAGGCAAAACCTCCCCAGTTCATACTAACCTGACTATGGGATAAAATTCCTTCCTGACTCTAGCTGTGGTAATCAATCTGATCCCGAGTGTATGGACAAAACCCTCTAGCAAGGAACCTCTGAGTTCTAGCTCCAAAGAGAGCACTGGCATACCCCAGTCAAAATCTTCAGCCTTGGCTGCAGCCAACACCAATTTTTCTGAGAAACTTGAAAACCCCCCCAACAAAAACCAAACAAACCCCTCTGAAAGGTAGCAACAGAAGAGGAAAATCCCTTCCCAGCCCCATGTGGCTACCAGCAAAGCCTGGAAGCTTGGTAAATACCAAATGCCCTCAGTGCTCTGCAACCTAAGAACTTGCAGCAAGTGCAACTCCGTACATCACACCTCCTTTTTGGACAGCCAGAGCTACCCTTTCTGCATCTACTCTATAAATCTCATTCCAGCTCCTTCAATCTTCTTTCATAACTAAGCTAGATTGTGGAGCTCTTCTTCATTTTCCTGCTGTTGAGTATGGTCCTCTCCAATATTTACCTGCTTCAGGCTGCAGAGCATTTCACATGATCTGCCAGTGTGTGTGTGTGTGTGTGTGTGTGTGTGTGTGTGTGTGTGTGTGTGTGTGTGGGTGTGTGTGTGTGTGTGTGTGTGTGAGAGAGAGAGAGAGAGAGAGAGAGAGAGAGAGAGAGAGAGAAGACTGCCTAGAGGGAAGTCCAACTTAATTGTTCATCACATAGACCTTCAATACTCAGCGACGACTCAGTTTTCTGGAGGGGCAGCGATTATTTCCATTTGGTCTCTTAAACCCTGAAAAATGCTCAGAAGGTGAAAAGCCACCAGGCAACTCAGTGAAATGTTCCAGGGGTAGGGATATACAAAATGACTAGAACTCTTGGTTCCATGGGTAGGAAAGTACATTTCCTGCTAGTTCCCCAGGACAGAATCACCCCATCTCCCACACACGCCCTGACTCCCCTGAGATGTAGAAGGCCTGCTAACATAGCCAGAGACCATAAGGAATAGGTGAGGAGATGATACTGAGGACCAGAGGGGAAAGGCTAGTGCTGCTCAGTCCACGGTGCTTGTCCGTGACATGGCCTCTAGCATCCCATTTAATTGCTCTGCCACCAAATATGAGGCCAAGAAAACTCACCACAAAGCCACACACCCCTGGGCTTCTCTGTAGTTAATTAAGGAGAAGAGAAGTTTCTGTATGTTGCTCCACAGAAAAATAATGCCTCCTGGGATGTGCAAAATTTTATATATTCCTATTTAAAACCACATTACAACAGAATTTAAAGCATTATGGCAAAGCTGTCCAGGGCAGCTCTGCAGCCACAGTTAATACGCACAATTAACTTTAAATTTAAACAGAATTTCTGAAGTTGGGAACAAGTTTTATACCAAGGGCCACTATTCATAGCACTGACTTGACAAACCTACCAATAATGCCACTGTAAAGCATGCAACACATAACAGAGCTAATAGAAGAGCTTTGCAAATTACTGACATTTATTTGTATAACCACAGTCCTTTGGAGCTTATGGCAAGGCACTTATCAAGGGGATCAAAGGACTCAATATTGTATTCTGCAATAAGGTGCTCTGAAATATTCCAGCTGTACTTACAATCCGCTTCTCACCCACACAGACCGGGTGTAAAAGTGAAGGTCCTCATTCAAAACAGAACTGACAGCATCTTTAAAGTGCAATTCTCTGCCCTTACAACATTCCAGGGCAAACAGGCTGACCGAAGGTTCAGCAAACACCTGGAAGAGAGGGTAGGTACAGTTACTCAAGATGGTGTAATTACCACTTGTGAGCATCTTACTCAAGCATCTTACTTCAGTGTCCACCTCCTCAGCATGGATATTCACTAGTAATTTGCATTTTTTATTTGGATCCATAAAGTTTCCCAAAAGGTCGTGCTGCTGAGGAAGTATGTTGTAATTGTCAAATCAGGGAACATTTGGGATCTATTGGACTTGACACCACACTACAGAGCCCAGTAACATGAGCATGGTTCTTCAGATTTAAACCTTCAAAGGCACTGAAACACCTTGAGGTGCACAGCGGGTTGGTGCTTTTGAAAACACCACAAAGTGTGTATCACTGCATATTAAGGTGCCTCAATATCTTTGAAAATCTGACTCTAAACATTTAATGAAGAAACAGGTTACAAAGTTAACTTCAAAGATCCAGGAAAATTCAAGTAGTTGGCAATCACTTTAGGCTCAAGTGACAAGTCAACACTTTTCACATAGCGCCATCTTTATCTACAGATAAGAGATTTGTTACCAAAAGTAGCCGATACAACAGTTACAAAATTTCAGTTACAAAGGGTGCATCTAGATGTTATTTCAATTGCGGCAGTGCTTTGCTTGCGCGATGAAGACATCATACCATGTGCATGGTTAACTGCACAGGACAGGCTGTCAGAAGAAAGGAAAAAGAAATAACAGCTTGCGCTACTGCTGCTGACCACTCTCATTGGTCAGCTCTCACTGGGGAGCTGTCATTGGTCAGCAACACTGCTGAAAGAATTAAATAACTACTTGGGAGTCATTCCCCGGGGTCCACGGGCTAGCCCTGGAGAAACAAGCTGGGAGAGAAAGGGAAAATCCGCCCCTCAGTTCCCCTGGCCCCTGCATGGAGTCAGAGCTACCCTGCCCAACTGGAGCATAGCCCTGGTCTCCCAAGCTGCAGCAGGGGTGGGGTGGGAATCAACCCCCACCCCAACCTTCTCCGTGCAAGTGCAGGGAGCTAGGGATACCCTGCCCAACCACAGGCAGTCTGGTCTGCTGGGAAGCAGCAAGCACTGGTAGGGTGACCACCTTACCCTAGTTGGGTGGGACAGTCCTGGATTTGCACTATCGTGCAGGGATCAGGAAACAGTGGGTGCCCCCTTGCAGAGTTCCAGTCTGTATGGGGCTGCCGGGAATGGGATGCAGGGAGCACCACGTGCATGTGTGCAGGTGCACACACGCACATGGCTGGGAATACAGCCTGGCCACATGGAGAGCAACTTCCTGCAGGTAAGTCTATGGCAGGGGAGGGAGGGATGGGACGTGACGGGGGAAGTGAGGGAGTGGGGCACGGGCTGGCGGTGCTGCCCAGCCAGGGTGGTGCACAGCGTCCAGGACTGGGGCAGGGAGCAGGACAGAGCCAGTCAGCTCATCCATGGAGTGTGTGTGTGTGTGTGTGGAGGTGCTACTGTATGTACAGCCCCCCCCCCCGATTTGTGTGCAGGGCGGGGCATATGCGAGTTGTCTGCTGTGGGCTCGGGGCCCCCTGCCCTGCTGCCTTTCCCTCAGGAGCCCTGCACTGGCCGCGTGCCTGCCTGGCAGCAGCAGGGGGGGTGGCGGCATGGAGTTGTACCCCCTGCTGCAGGCAGGGGGCACATGGCAGGCTCAGTGCTCCTGAGGGAAAGGAAGCAGGGTGAGGAGCCCCAAGCCTGCAGTGGGCAGCCCGCATCCTCCCCTGCTCCGCTCAAGCTTTGCTCTGGCTGTACCACCAGTGCAGAGGAGGCAGGCATTTGTCCTGCCTTTCCATTTTGAAAAGGTTACCACCCTAAGCACTGGGGAATTCCCCCTCCCCGCCCCATGCTTTCTGTTGCCCAAGAGGTCCAGACTGCCTGTGGCTGAGCAGGTCCTTGGCTCCATGCCTGGGTGGAGAGAAGTGGTAGGGGTTCTCCCCCCACCATGCCTGCTGCTGCACAGAATGCTCCAGCATGGCAGGGGTGTCCCTGATCATATGATCTGTACCGGCATATGAGGGACAGTGTTGTATTTCTCCTGCTGGGTGCTGCTACGTAAAGAGAATGAACCTAGGGGTCAGAACTATGCTGGGCAGGGGTTTCTTCCTTGCTCTTTTTCAAAGAAGTTTATACGGAGATGGAGCAATGTACCCTGGGATGCCAGAGGACCAGCAGATTGCTATCACACAATGTATTCCTTGCTACACATGCAAATTAAAGCTGGATAGCAACCAACTATAAAGTTAGTACACAGTTTAGAGGTCTAACTAGCTGGTTGGATCTTTTTATTGTGTGGTAGCTACTTTGTATATGGAGCTGGTCATAGCTCATTGCACAATAACTAATGTGCAGAGAGAGCCAAAGTGAGGTAAAGTATAAAAGCAATAGGACATACACAGTACCAACTTCAAAATCAAAATGCCTATGTTTTCATTGGAAAAAGGTGCATTTTTTCCTCAGGTTATCTTAATGTAGTTGCTCAGCAACTTAGCAACCCAGCAAGAGGTGATAGCATTGATCTCAATGAACTCTATTCAAGTAAAAACCACCTGCACCTTATCTCCACTAGGATTTGAAACTAAGATAGGTAACCAATACAAACACTTTCTTTGGTCAATTGTGGAAGGCGCACAAATCAGGAGCAAATCTGAAAAAATATACACCTATGCACCAAGTCATTAAGGAAGCAAGAGTATAAATGTGTTGTTCCAAGGAGGTTCACTTATTAGAAGCTTTTAGTGAAGTATTTCACAAGATCTCCACTGTGATTCAGGCCTTATGAATTTATTGGCACTGAGTCACTGTATGTAGTTGGTATTCAGCTGGTTGCTTAACTTGTACCTCAAGGAAATGATTCCCCCTCCTACCTCACCTGTGTAGCACTATTATCAGCATGCAGCTCAATGGGAGTGAGGAGCTCACCCAAGTATCCATGAGAAGGAAAATGTTTCTCATTCATCTGAACACACCTTTAAGTGGGCATTTAGTCTGAACCCTTCCACCCCTGGAAACCTCTAACTCCAAAAGAAAAAAAACCATCAAGAGCCACAATGCCTTTATTTTGAAAGGTTTTCTCTTCTGACCTGCCCTCCACTTTTTTTGGAAAAAGTGGAGTCAAATCATGGAGGATGGGGCTGCTCTTTTTGTCGGTTAGTTTTAGAGCTATTCTGACAGGTGCACTGCAGACAGCTGCTACTTGGGTTACTTCACCCAGCATCACCTTTGACCTGCAACAATCTTACTCTCTCAATTCCACTCTTTACCTGCACAAAGACTGACAGGATGGCTGAACTTTGAGGGACTTTCTAGATGAGAATCAGAAAAGGAAAAATTGCTCTTTTAAAATTGAGTGAGTGGCCACTTGAAAAGCTACTTCCCATGTACTGTGGACACTGATTACACACAACCGTTGATCCTTCTGGATCATGGTGTATGCATGAGATCACCAGGACCTTCAACACGTATGTCTAGGCAAGAGTATGGAGGAGTGGAGGTTGCCCAGATCTTCTATCCCTCATTTGAACAATTGAGACAGTATCCAAAGGCCAGACCAAGTCCAGACATTTGGTGGCTTGACAGCTGTAATTACATGCACGCTTAGGAATGAAACCCACGTCTCCTACACTACAAGCCAGGATTCTACCACTGAACCATAATAGTGGGCTGGACACTGCTGGACCCTTTTAAAATCTTGGGTTATTGGTGGTGTAACGTACGTACAGTCAGCTAACAGAATTTTTATATTTCTTTCTGATAATGGAGATGGAGACCACTAAGCAAGAACCAGAAGTCAATGAGGAGTACGGCAGCAGTGTAGTAGCAGCAGCCTGGATTTTCTCCCTTCTTACATCAGATAAACAGTAAGATTAGGGGATGGGGGGAGAAGAAATTCATTTGGTAAGGGGAAAGCTTAACAATTTCTTAGGCAGGTCAATGGGCAGACAATACACCAGGGAAATCCCAAAGCTTTCCAGATGTGAAGAGAAAACCCTGGAGGCCCCTTGTATCCTCCTAAGATTGGGGAGAGAACATGCTGGAGGAGAAGACATCAGTTGGGTTGGCTTCAGATGGTTCTGGCTGCTTACATAAACACCAAATCCCTTGAGAATTCTGCAAGTTGAGAAAACTTGCCCAGAGTAAAATCACAGGTATATGAGTCCCCAGCACAGCTCAGGGCAGATCCAGCTTCCTTCTACAGTTGTCTTAGGAATTTAAAAAAAACGTTGGCAGCTCTGCTTATACCAGCACCTTTTGTGAAAATCCTGTCAGCTACAAGAAAGAAGCAGCACTGAAGAATTCTTTTAAAGTGATGCTTATCTCTCAAAGGAATTGCCTTGCTTAAATAAACTGATACCAAAAAAGTGTAATTTATGAGAGTGCCATTTAAGCATAACATAGGGAGACCTATACAATACATGCCATGCTCTAGTAATTAAAGCAGGTTATGTTTACAAAATTTCAGGAAGCGTCTTTAAGGAACTATTAAATATGATATTCTTTACTTAACAGGTGTGGACGTTCTGATATTAATACATTACCTACTTCTGCGTCAAACCCCATCTCTCTTTTCACAGTGGCTTTTCAACTGGTGGACTAAGTTAAGCACTAACTTCAATTTATGCAGAGCAAAGATGGAATTTCCCAACTCATTAAATCCTGCCCACAAACCCTCTGACCTTCATTTAACAGAGATGAATAATAATCTATGAATTTAGGAGAGACTTTTAATTCAGAAAACAAAGGCAAATCAGACCAAAATTCACCTCGCTAAACTAAGACCAAAACAATGTAAATTTTCTTCAAGCTACTTTTGTTTCCAATTTTCCTTTTATGTTCCTGCTCCATTTAAAAGAATCCCAACATAGGAAACCTCCCCCACATCAGAAATTCAAGTTCCTTCATGCAATAACTGCAAAACCAGTCCACGTATACCAGTACAAAGATTAATGAATAACCTCTGCAATCTACTAAATAGATTTGCAGAATTAAAAATTCAAATCAATGAGGAATGGA